TCAGCGCAGGGCAGCCAATCACGCTGGAGTGCTGGGCAGACGCTGACCCCGCCCCTCAGTTCTATTGGGTGACGCCAAATGGTGACAAGGTGGGCAGAAACTTTTGTGTGTGTCCAAGTCCCAGAGAGAAACACAAAGCTTTGAGCATTTTCACTTCATTGATTTCAGTTAATCAGTTATCACAACAGACAGTGATTATTACACGTTACTTCCTCTTCATGCTGGACGTGGTGAACAAACTCCCCAGCGTCTCGTTCCCTCTGCATCTCCACTGTTCTGTCTGTTCCACTGTATAATTAGCGATTAGCGTAATAGCAGGATAACAGAGCTACATTAATCAAGTGCAACATTAAATTGTACTAAATGACTCACTCCAGCAGACACAGCTTCAGCGTGAGAGCATGAGACAACCTGGAAATGGGTTTAAATCACCACAGCGACTCAATCTCCCGACATGTACATTTACAGCTTTGACATCTGTGCCCCGATGGATCGTGGGAGTCACTTACTGTCATCGTCCTGGGTCATTTGACCCGTTTTGAGTTTTCTTGTATGTTGATGTCATTTTTGTATTATGGTTTATTTTGTTAGTCTTGAGTTTATTCTTTATTGCCTATGTTGTCCTGTTTAGCTCCTTGGTTATTAGGTTCCCCTGAGTCTTTGTCCTCTGTGTCCCTCTCTGTGTGTCTGGGTTTGTGTGTCTTTGTGTCTTGTTTCCCTTGTATTACCGCGGAAGCACTAGCTGGTAGTCGAGCCGTACGCGTGTCTTAGTGCAGTTGAACACAATCCACAAAGTCCGCTTGTAGTCGAAAAACAAACAGGCAAACATTTATTTCCACAGTGATCCGTTTGAATGTTCATGTACACTACAAACACGGTAAGAAACTGTTTTTCTCCACAGCTAGTTAAAGCCCCCGTTGCTCCACACTGTCCGTCGCAAAAAACGCTCCCCCCGTGCACAGTTACCGTGTGTTAAAGGAACAGTATGTAAAAATTAAATAAGGCAAGAAAAAATACAATTTAACTGTAAATCTTACACTAAACAAATTATAAAGTAAAAACTGAAATTCCCCATTATCTTACACTTATCCTTATCCAAAATGATTCAAATTATTAACAAATATACACTCTGTGCATTCTGAGTAAACTAAGAGATGATTAGACCTTTATCCTATACACCTTGTCTTCCATTTCACGTTCCCCCCTCTATCCTGTTTATCCCACGTTTCCCCAGCCTGTCATGTCCCTCTTGTGCTCTCTTCATTCTCTAGGCTACTTGTTCCCCTCTCGCTCTCCCTCGCCCCCTTCGTGGTGTCTGTGTTTTGCCCCCTTGACTGTTCCCGTGTTCCTCTACTTGTGTTTCATCCTGTCTCCCCGGTCCGTCATGTGTTTCATGTCCTATTGTCACAGTCTACGTCTGCTGTGTGTACGTGTACCCCAGCTAAAATCTTTTCTTAACCCAAAACAAGTATCTTCACATGACATGAAGCAATCATTTTGAGCAATGGCATCTGAAATAGAATTAAAGATTTATTTATCCAAACAATTTACCATTAAGAAAAAAA